CCATTAATCCAATAAAATTCTGGATCCTTTGTAGAAATTCCTTTTGAAGTCACTGTTTGGTATTTGTCCTGACCCTTGGAAACCTACTCTCCTAAGTCGAATTCCAGGCTCTATCCAAAACCTAGTCAGCCTACAGTCCTGGCTGTATCTTCATCAAATAACAAAACTACTCTTAATTGCCGTCCACCTTATTCTTATTTTCTTGAGTCGGTCCTTTCCCTTGAACTTTTCATGATCCTTTTCTGGCCAAGTTAATTCCTTTGGGAGGGTATTGAGAGCTTTATGTTTTATGGCTGTCTTCTCTCCCATATTCAGGCAAAACAACTCTCAGGACCCTGGAGCCACAGTGGGGACAATAGGAAGCCTCTCTCTGGGTGACAATCCCATTTTAGGAGCTGATTGTTCAGTAAGGGGAGAGGTGGTCCCCTTGACTGTCTCCCAGGCGCCTCATGGTTGGCTCATGTTACAGCCACCTCATGAGCTGGGGGAAAGGGTGATGGGTGCCCCAGAATTCCCGGCAAAGCATGGCTTTGGCAGAGCCTCTATCCTGAGAAGGGGCTGGGTGTTCCCACTTTTCACGTGAACCCAGAGACTTAAATTCAGCAATAGGTGGATGAGGGCAGGATGGGTGATGGGAAATCCTGCTCTTCCTAGGAAAAGGCCTAGTTCTGGCAACTTGGGGAGAGAGTAAGTTGTATGCTGCTTCCGGGCACAGCACTCTGGAGGAGAACATCCACTTGCTGAGTTCAGAGGTAGGGGGAGGGAGAGGGGGGTGTAAGCATGATTCAAATGCCACAGACTCTCCCCTTTCTCACAGAAAATCCACCAATTTTCTTCAGTAGATACTCCTCATTTGCTGGTTGTCTTTAGGACAATTTCCAGAGGTTTCAATGGTTGTTTTAAAAATAGTTTTCACAGATGCATGGGGGAATGGGTCAGTGGAAGCCCTTGGATTATCACACCACCCAGATGCATTTAACATTTAACAGACTGTCCATATCAGAAGGTGCTCTCCAGATTGGCATGCTGTACCACAGGAGGGAGTATCACCTGTCGTTTTATAGGTAAATACATTGAGAAAATTCATTAAGGTTTGTGAAAAGGTAATGCACACTTCAAAGAATTGTTGTTCAGTGGATGCATGCATACAGATGTGGCTTCCCATTAACAATAAATTAGTCATTTGATTATTAACAGCATGTGAAAACTTTTATTGTTTTATATTATTTTTAGTATTTAAACATACAGTTCCATGAGTAACTATGAATTTTCACAAATGCACAGTTACACCAACATCAGGATGAAAAACACTCCATCAACCCAAAGGAACACAATCGTGGTGCCTGTTTATACTGTACCCACTGTTGTATCGCAAATCAGCGAGCTGAACAAGACACCTAATGAGCCAATTAGTTAGGAGTCATCTTTATTGCGTGCAGGTTCAGAGCAGATTACCTCTGTCAATTTCTGAACAAACACAGGAGGGAGTATTTCCTTTTTATATCTTTCTAGTTCTTTGTGTAAGACAGCTTGTAACCTTGAGTACATATCATATCTAATTAAGCACCTGTCATATCTATACAGACAACTTGTAACTTTGAGTACATATCAGATCTATATAGACACCTGTAACCTTGGATGAACAAACACTTAGCATGAGAATATGTGAATTAATATCAGTATCAGTGTATCAGCCCCTTTAGATGGCTAGCTTGCAAGGTCAGACAGTTAAGTTTATCTTTTCTATTATTCAAGCTAAAAAACAAAGTTATATTTTATAGAATAAGAGACTATTTAAAAATAACAGAGTAGTTCAAACAGCAGTTTTCCAAAGGAGGCACCGCCATGCTTCACCACCTTTCAACCCAGGTCTGTTCGAGGTTCCAAGTGAAAGGTTCGGGGTAGGGCTGGGGTCGCACAGAACAGACTCAAGGCTCAGTGTAATCAGTGTGATATTTATTCAAGGCACCTGGATGCAGGTGGACTGATTTTGAAAAAGAAATCAGTGGTGAATGGGGAGGGAGCAGGCTTTTTATGTGCCCAGGGAGAGCTACAGACGGGGTTCAGCTTGACACACGTATCAGGACCATAGTTTTATGACCTTGCCCTTTGTCCTTCTGCTGGTGCCAGATGTCCTTCCTCTAGGGGGCTGTGCAAGAATTATGGCCTTCATGAATTTATGTAAAATAACCACTCAAAGGGAGCATGTTTGTGCCAGGCTTAGGATTGCAGAACGAGCTTTCTTTGTTACTAAGTTAGCCCTGTTTCTTGATTAACCCTTTCACCTAGATCCGTACCTTTTCCTGTTCAGAAACTTTGACACCACATTTGTAAAGGTACATAATTTACAAGCCTGGTGGCATTCTTCTGAAGTTCACATTTTTGACATTGCACAGTAGAGGAGCACACATTATAACTTTAAAATGGAGAGATTGCCAAAACCGGTTTGGCTCAGTGGATAGAGCGTCGGCCTGCGGACTGAAAGGTCCCAGGTTCGATTCCGGTCAAGGGCATGTACCTGGGTTGCGGGCACATCCCCAGTAGGAGATGTGCAGGAGGCAGCTGATTGATGTTTCTCTCTCATCGATGTTTCTAACTCTCTATCTCTCTCCCTTCCTCTCTGTAAAAAATCAATAAAATATATTTTAAAAAATAAATAAAATGGAGAGATTGCACTATTATATGTAAATTTGGACCAGATTTCTGCTTAACTTTCTTCATCTGCACAGTGAGAGGAATGATGGGGACAAGGGATCATAGGAGATAGCAATAACTATAAAATCATATGAGCTCTACACACTAAGAAAACATAAATTAGCACTGAAACAAAGAGAAGGGGCCAAGTCTGGATTTCCTTCCCTCTTCGATGAAATAAAAGCATCACCTTTCCCCCCATGTTTCATAACATCTCCTGGAAGTGTAAACATGGAAATGACCCCTGCAAACAGCAAACATGAGCCTGGGCGACTTGGTGCCTTCTGCTGAAACAAAAAACCTCCAGCTACTCCTCTTATCAAAGGCACAGAAAATTTCCCAGTTTGATGATATCAAATCTACCTGTTTTGCTGATACTGTGTCTGCAGTTCACCTCATTTTTCCCTTAGATCATCGTAAACGGCGATAGCTTTCTGCCATGTTAACCAGGAACTCACCTTGGACTTGCACAGGAATCACTCTACTCAGAAAACCCATGATGGGTACAACTATGCAGATGACCAGAACTCTTTCTTTTCTTTTCTCTTTTTCCTTTTCTTTTCAATATTTTTATTGATTTCAGAGAGGGAGAGAGAAACATCAATGATGACGGGGGAAGAGGGGGGCAGTTGGGAGGGCCTGGGGAGTGATTGCTGATGGGGATGTGTTTTTCGGAAGTGATGAAAATGTTCTAAAATTGATTATGGTCGTGGTTATGTAACTCTGAATGTACTGAAGCCACTGGATTATTAAGGGTGAATGTTATAGTGTGTGAATTATATATCAAGAAAAATGTTTAGAGCCCTAACCGGTTTGGCTCAGTGGATAGAGCGTTGGCCTGTGGACTGAAAGGTCCCAGGTTCGATTCCGGTCAAGGGCATGTACCTTGGTTGCTGGCACATCCCCAGTAGGAGGTGTGCAGGAGGCAGCTGATCGATGTTTCTCTCTCATCAATGTTTCTAACTCTCTATCCCTCACCCTTCCTCTCTGTAAAAAGTCAATAAAATATATATTTAAAAAAAAGAAAGAAAAATGTTTAGAGAGAACCAAGATGGCGGCATAGGTAAGCGCCTGTACTTGCTGCCTTTCATAACCACATCAATACCATAACTAAACGGCAGAACAACTACCACCCAGAACCGCTGGAAGTCTGGCTGAGTGGAAGTTCCACAACAAGAGTGGTGAACAAGGCGCATTGAGACTGGTAGGAGGTGCGGAGGCGTGGAAAGGGCTGGCACCTGGATGCGCTGCTCTTTTAATTGGGATGGAGATACAAGCTCCTGCTTGCTCTGAACTCCAGTTCCGGGCGAGACTCTGGGGGACCCAGGCACAAACGGGGAGAAACTGGACTGTCTGGCACTGGGACAGGAACGTGAGGGCAGCTTTCTCTTAGAGGGGCTCGCAGCGATCACGGGGGTGCGGGATGCAGAGAACCAGGGACTTCTCCAGTTCAGGGCTGACTGGCAGCCATTGCTGTTTGCTCCACCCTAGTGATTCCCAGCGACCCCACCCCACCTAATTTACAACCCCACCTAAGCTGTGGGCATCAGCTTTTGCATATGAATGGCCTGTCCTTTCACCTAAAACCTGTCAAACTGCAGCTGGGTCAGAGAGCTTCCAAAAGAAGGCCCAAGGCCCTGCCGGCCTTGCTTCACTGCTGGGCCTCGTCTGGGCACTTCCAAACCCCCTACAAAGAGGAGGAATCTGCAGATGTCTCTGTGGTGGCCCCAGACAGTGGCTGACCTTGCACCTCCTTGGAGATCCAAGAGCCAGTGTACCAGTGGTCAGAGTGAGACCATACTGGATTACAACTCTTCACATCCATAAGAGACACACTCAAGGGGCAGACTCTTTATTATATAGGATTAAATAAAAAAGAAATCCTTTTAAATATGCTGTTACTCCTACACCCTTCAATCATTTATGGTTTGTGTTCATTCTTATTATTTGAATTCATTCCATTACATGTCTCTTTTACTACATGTGATTTTCTTGGACTTTCACTGGAGAGGACTAAAAAAAAAAACATGACTGAAGTTTTTAATTGTATGAATAAGAAAGAAGTTCATGTCAAAAATTATAAGTAAACAAATTAAAAATGTAATTTGCCTCAGGAAAACATGTCTGAATTTGTACACACATAATTGTGACCCAGAATGTATAATGATTAAATGGGAAAAATTACAGGTTGATCTGAAATTACATTGGAATATTAAATATATCCTCAGGAAATAAAAACAATAATAGTTCTTAGCATAAGAGTGCTTGGCAAACAGCTATTTCTTTAAAAAGTACAGAAGCATTGATTAGAGAGAAAAAATGCACATAATTTTAATCACATGCAAAGATAACTGACAACATTGAGAGATTAGGCTCAGCTCTGAGTGACAGCACACATCAGAGTCTGCCTGCAATGGGGAAAGTGCCGATTCTCACATGGAAGGACTGGCTCAGAGCCCTCACTGCAGAGGGTGGTACAAGAGCAAACTGTCACGGGGCTCCTTGGCACTGCACCATGGCAGCTGTCACAGTGGGATCTGAATCACAGTCAGTAGTAGTAACAACAGGACAAGATTATGACTAGTCAAATTAGACCTCATGCAAATGCAAGCTAGAGAACAGTGCACACCCTTCAGAAAACAGCCTCAACCGTGACCATCTATGTTTGTTGCCTGGTGGACACCTATGGGCTTGCAGGAAAAGCCAACCTATGCTGGATCTTTAATGGTGAATTCTGAACAACTGTAAAGCTTACACCTGACATCAAGGGAAATGAAGCAGTCGCTGGCGGTTTTGAGGATATTTTTTGCTGGCTGGGCAAAGATTGAGGAAACAAACTCAAAGCAAATGTACACAAAAGCTCTATGCTTCTGGCCATCTCCTTTATACAAGTGGATTCAAAACCAATCTAATCCTATTTTACCTCTGCATTCAAGTTTCATGGAAGTGAGGCCTTAGTGATTTCTAACACAGAACCATTAAGGCACCAGATTGTGGAAAATACAGTTCACAACATTCCTCACGCTGACCTAACAGAGTCAGGAAGGGTCATCTCTGACTCTAGATCTTATTGTCCTATCACAGGTATTCTCTTCTTAATGCAATCATCATAGTTCAAACCCAGCCAAAAGCAATGACAAGCAAAGGATATATATGAAAAAAATTCACACGGGACTCTACAATGAACTTCGCATATGTACAAATATATTGCAAATATTTATTGACAAATAATACTGAATGTCAACTGTAATTGAAAAACAAAAAACATGTATTTACAGGAAAATGGAGTAAGGCTCTTCAGGCCAATGAAAAGGCACTTTTCTGTTAAAATAGATTATATATATGGGCGAAGCATATTCATTCAATACTTGTCACAGGAGGCCAGTAGGGAAAAAAAGAACAAATACCCAAGTACCATTTTTCAATGTTCCTTTCCTTACAGAACAATTACAAAAATTACATAAAAGTTAAACCTACTTGCATATTAGTAAACCACTTCCATTCACCCACGGATGTAATAAATGTTTATTATCTGACTAAAAGGAAAAAAATACCTGTTAAACTTACAAACTCTGGCTTAAAGTCTCTACAGAATTATATAACCTCTACTTGCAAAAGTAGAATTCTGTACTACAGAGAATCACTTTAAGAATGAGTCCGTGTTAATGACCATAGATATCTAAATGCTTATAGCATTTCTTTCATGTTGTGAATTTTTGGAAGTATAGGAATTAATTCACCCACGGATGTAATAAATGTTTATTATCTGACTAAAAGGAAAAAAAAATACCTGTTAAACTTACAAACTCTGGCTTAAAGTCTCTACAGAATTATATAACCTCTACTTGCAAAAGTAGAATTCTGTACTACAGAATCACTTTAAGAATGAGTCAGTGTTAATGACCATAGATGTCTAAATGCTTATTCATTTCAAACAGCTGGATCAGGCCCGCGGGCCGTAGTTTGCCCACGGCTGTACTAGTTACAGCAATATGATTGCCTTCCAGTGCAGTTTACAAGCTCCTCTGAAAGTATTTGTTAAAAGTTTGTCTTCACTAGCATTATACAATACCTATTCAGTGTACATACTCACATGGCATTGTGGGGATATGAGGCTAAATGAAGGTTTTCCTACATCGTTTACATTCAATAGAATTCTCTCCGCTTTGAGTTTTTTTTCATGGTCTTTCCAAGGAAAAGGGACGGCAAGAAAGGCTCTCCCACACTCCTTATATTCGTAGACTTATTCTTGGGTATGATTTTGTAAAGAACTAGGGCAACCCAAGGCTTTTCTACAATGTTTATACTGACAAGGCCTCTCTTCAGTGTGAGTTCTTTCATTCTATAGAATACACTGGAAGAAATGAATGCTTTCTAACACTCCTGACATTTTTAGGGCCCATCCCCAATCTGGAGCATCCTGTGATTGCACAGCTGAAAGATAAATAAGGCTCTCCCACATTCTTTACATTAACAGGGTTTATCTCTAAAGTGTGTTTTCAAATGTTTATGTAAACTACTTGAGTAACCGAAGATTTTACCACATTCTGTACATTCGTAGGGTTTTTCTCCACTGTGTGTTCTTTCATGTACTCGAGAGGACTTGAGAGAACGGAAAGCTTTGCCACATTGTTTACACTCATATGGTTTCTCTTCACTATGAGTTTTTTCATGAACTTGAAAGTAACTGAGACGACTGAAGGCTTTCCCACATTGCTTACACTCATAGGGTTTCTCCCCAGTATGAGCTATTTCATGATTTCTAAGGGAAGTGGCATAACGGAAAGCTTTACCACATTCCTTACATTCATAAGGCTTCTTTCCATCATGAGTCCTTGTATGGTTTTTAAGATATTTGAGAGAACTGAAGGCTTTAGCACATTCTTTACATTCATAGGGCCTTTCTCCATTGTGTATCATTTCATGATGTCGAAAGTTTCTTGGACATCGGAATTCTTTCCCACATTCTTTACATTTAAAAGGTCCATCTCTAGTGTGCTTGATCATGTGTCTTTGAAATAGGAGGAGAGAACTCCAGGCTTTCCCACACTTCTTACACTCATAGAATTTCTCTTGAGTATGAGCTCTTGCATGTCGACATAAGTTACTTAAATACCTGTAGGCTTTACCACATTTTGTACATTCATAGGGCCTTTCTCTACTGTGTTTCTTTTCATGTACATTAATATATCGGAGATGCTTGAAAGCTTTCCCACATTCCTTACATTTATAAGGCTTCCCTTCATATTCCTCACACTGGTATAGTTGGGGTCCAGTGTCAGAGCTCACGAGGTTATTAAAGGATAAATAATGCATGAAGACTTGTCTACACAACCTGGATGTGGGTAGTTGTATTTCAGTAGGAGTTTTCTTCCTTTCATTTTGATGTGGAATCTGTCTGAAGTTTTCTCTGAATTGACTCCCATCCTTCCATTTACAGAGGCTCTCTACCATATGACTGCTGTAAAAATCAGAAGCATGTTATTAATACTTTGCTTATCAATGATGTTATATTACTAGTATGACAGTGACATTTTTACCATTTTTAAGGAAAGTGTGGGGTTTCTGCACATTCAGGTTGTTTGAGCATGGATATACTAAAAGCCTTGAAGGTGGACTCAATCGTAGATATTATGAAAATAGTCATAGTCATTAATGATGTTTCTGAATAGTGTTCCTAGTGTACTTTTTAAAAAATCCTTACCCTAGAGAATATATGTTTATCGAGATGAGGGGGGGGGATATCAATGTGAGAAAGAAACATCAATTGGTTGCCTCCTGTACGTGCCCCTACCAGGGATCAAACCTGCAACCTAGGTATGTGCCCTGAATGGGAATCAAACCTGCAACCTTTTGGTATACTAGATGATGCTACAACCAACTGAGCCACCCCGCAAGGGCCCATGTGTATCTATTATTATTATTATTATTATTATTATTATTATTATTATTATTATTGTTAATCCTCACCAAAGGATATTTTTTTCCATTCATTTTTAGAGAAAGTGGAAGGTAGGGAGGAAGAGGGAGGAAAGGAGGAAGAGAGAGAGAGAAAGATCGATGTGAGAGAGAGACATCGATGGTTGCCTCCCGCAAATACCCTGACTGGGGCGAGGGATTGAACCTGCAACCCAGGTATCTGCCTTTGACTGGGAATATTTGATCATATATTAAGATTATCTTGTGGAACATTGCTTTCTCATGTCAGTGTGACTCACCTAAGATTCATTTCATGATGTTCATACTGATCTTCACTGTCATGGTCTTCACATTTTCCTTCTAAAATACATGCTAGAAAAAAGAAAGCATCATAAATTATTAAAAAATACTAGTATAAAAAATGGTTAGAAAAAAAAAATGGTTAGACTTTAGGTCCATGATGAGCTGTCATCATGCCTAGTTTAATTATCAATGTATTCCCTTTCTACATTTCAGTTCTTGAAGCAGCACTGATGAGCAGACAACATAATTTTCTAATTGACTAAATAAATAAGAAGTTGTCATCACTACCTACTGATGCCAGGTTCCAGAAGGTTTCCAGCATCACATCTGTGTAGAGTTTCTTCTGGGATGGATCCAGAAAAGCCCACTCCTCCATGGTGAACTCCACATTAACATCCTCAAAGGCCACTGAGTCCTAAAATATTCCACATATGTATATGGGTGAGTTAGACAGCACTAGGGATCTATACATATTTCATAAGAAGTTCACATAGGACACGATGTCCCCAACATTCATTCTATGACTTGCTTGTCAGACTATTATTTATTAGCCACACTCAATTCCTCATGAACACATGGAATTTACTGATATGATTTTATTTTGATCACTTAAAGTCTTCATTACTCTCTAATGTCAGAGTAAAGATCACTTTGAAAAAATTCAAATAATATAATAACATAATATTCCTATATTAAGTACCTCAATTCCTGTGAGAAAACTCATTTTTTTATTAAAAAATTTATTTATTTATTTGTATTTTAATATATATTTGTATTGATTTTAGAGAGGAAAGGGGAAGGAGAAATAGAAATATCAATGATGAGATAGAATATTGATTGGCTGCCTCCTGCATGCACCACACTGGGCAATGAGCCTGCAAACGGGCATATGCCCTGACCGGGAATTGAAACATGACCTCCTGGTTCATAGGCTGACACTCAACCACTGAGCCATGCTGGCCAGGCTAAAATGTGTTTGCCAATTTAGGGGATGCTAATTGCTTACTTTTACCTTTTTTCTCCCTACCTGATCCCTCCAGATTTTGGCAATTCTTAATGAGTGAGTCATGGCAGTACATTTCTTCGCATTAATCCAATAAGACCAGTTCCACACTACGTGGCCCTATTAACCAAGACTTTGGAATGCCATGTCCAAGAGAGACATGCCTGGATTCTGGACGTCACCAGAAAGCCTTAAGGAATTGAGACTGACTCTTGAAGCTGATCGGTCAATCAAAAGTCACTTGCAGAAATGGCCTAATACCTTGCTTGGTCATGTGGTTCATCACAGTCTTTCCAGGTAAAGGATGAAGGTTATTTTCCTGAAAGATGGCAAGGAAGGAACCTCAAGACACCTTCGTGGACATCAAGGACTTGAGGACTTGACCCAAACCTACAGGTATTTCAGGCTCAGCCTAATGCCAACTGTGGCTTAACTTCTCCTCCTGAGGGGCTGACTGCTCACTAAAGGTCAATTTAAAGCAGTGGTTCTCAACCATCTAGCCCTTTAAATACAGTTCCTCATGTTGTGACCCAACCATAAAATTATTTTCGTTGCTACTTCATAACTGTAATGTTGCCACTGTTATGAATCGTAATGTAAATATCTGATATGCAAGATGGTCTTAGGCGACCCCTGTGAAAGGGTTGTTTGACTGCCGAAGGGGTCGCGACCCACAGGTTGAGAACCGCTGATTTAAAGATTCCTTGTGAAAAATCAAGCAAAGCAAATTTGAAAGAGCCCATGTGACTGATTTGATCAGTTGCTATTCTTGTTGTGCTTATTCAAACAATCAGGCCAAACTAAAACTGAACTTAATGCAATCTCTTTGAAAATGAGGGTAATCTTAGGGAGAAAAATTGTTTCAGTGGAAATCACAATTGGGAATATTGGACTCCAATGCAATGAACTGCCTTCAAAGTATTGTTTTTAAGGCTATGTTTGTGTATGCCATACAGCAGTGGTCGGCAAACTCATTAGTCAACAGAGCCAAATATCAACAGTACAACGATTGAAATTTCTTTTGAGAGCCAAATTTTTTAAACTTAAACTATATAGGTAAGTACATTGTTATTAACTTAATTAGGGTACTCCTAAGCTGGCCTTTGCTAAAATAATAATAAAGCCACCAACATAAAATAATTACAATTCTTAAATTGATGACAAAAATACCTGTAGGAATTGCAGCTGGTTGGAAAAATACAGGTAACTTTATGCTTCGAGTAGGTACTTTTGTCACCCGTGCGCGATTTGTGGACACGACTAGCACTAACCACTGCACAACGAGACTGCTGACTGACTGGCTCACTCAACTTGTGCATGAATCACCTGCATCCCCCGCACTGCGCATCCTGAGGCTTACCTGCACTGCGTCTCCCCTCGCCCGACCAACCGACACCCCCCACTTCTTCTAACGCCACTTCTTCAAAATAGACTCGCCCAGGCTGAAAACCGACTTCTGCACATGGGCAACGAAGTTGCAATTGCACCGTACGTGCGCGCCCGCACGTGGTATTTTGTGGAAGAGCCACACTCAAGGGGCCAAAGAGCCACATGGGGCTCGCAGTTTGCTGACCACTGCCATACAAGCCTCAGCCCTGATGACATCACCAGAGATGTTTTACCTTCAGTCTATCAGACTGTCATGGTGTGATTTAATCCCAGCAGAAGCCTTGTATCTGGAAATCTTTTCACTTA